TCACTACTTGTCTGGTTTCTTCTGTCAATAGCACGAGGGTTACCTTGAGGCACGAAAGTACCACAAAACTTTTCGCCTCTTCATCATTGGGAAAGGATACTAGGCAATCATCCACATAAAAGTTGTTCAGTACCGATTCCCCTACGCTGTTATCATAGTCACTAGAGAACTTCATCAATGCAAAGTTTGCACAGAAGGGTGAGGATATTGCCCCGAAGGGATGTGATGTCATCTGATACTCCACCGGTTCCTTCTCGATATCACCCTTCGGCCACCAAAGGAAACGTAGCGCTCCACAATCGGGCTTCGAGACCTTTACTTGCATGAACATTTCTTCCACATCCGCGGAAACGGCAACCGGTTCCCTGCGGAAACGTAACTGGATCCCAACTAGACTTGCTGTAGTATCTGGACCTTGGTAAAGAAGGTCATTCAAGGATTTACCAGCCACCTTAGCAGCACAATCCAATACCACTCTCACTCTGCTTGGTTTTCTGGGGTTAATCACTACATGATGGGGCAAGTACCGTTTTGGACGATAACCCGGATCGAGTTGCATACCTGGAACCACAACCGCATACCCTTTGTCAATCGTCTGCTGCTTGGCACACGTGTAGCTTTCCCGAAAGTCCTTATTGCATGTGAGTCTACGTCTTAGACTTTCTAATCTTCGTCTAGCTAGATCATAGCTACCAGAGATTACATTTCTCTCCACCCTCCAAGGTAAAGAGACAATCCAATGACCCTCGTCAAAATAAGTGTCGCGCCCCACTATGCCAACTGCTTTCAAGTCATTTAAAGATAATGCTTTATCGGAGGAGTGCACGTCAACAAATTCGTAGTTATATATTTCCTTTAACTGCTCTACAGGGTTGTCAGATTGAGAAATATAATTTACCATCCTTTTGCTGTTTTTGCTAAAGCCTGCCGGTCCAAACAGAACCCATCCTAGGAGTGTCCTAATAGCATATGGGCTTTTTCTTCCACCCAATCTTTGATCTAGGACCCAATGCGCTTCAGGCACGTCACAACCAATAAGCAACATAACTTCACCATCCACTGATTCTGTCCAAGGTAAGTCAATAAGATGAGGCCATTTCTTGGCGCTGTCCTTCACAGGTACTCTTGGTCGATGCACCGGCAAATCATCTACTACAACAGCCTGTTCAGTACATATACATTCGTCTCCGTTCAGTGAGTAAGCTTTAAAGGCTTTAGTGGTCGATCTGCTTAACTTATTTCCGTTGACCGTTTTGATGGTAATCGACGCACTGTCTGACGATAATCCTAAACATCGTACGGTACTTAACTTGATTAGGGTCGTATCTGAGCCATTGTCTAGAAACGCATATCCAGAAACTTCCTTGTCCCCAGCTCTAAGGCGTACAGCGATCAGACCCAGAAACACATCCTCTTTTAATGACTCTGTGTACCCACAATGACTTTCTTTTAAGCACTCACTCGACCCACTCTGAACTCGGACGGTTTTATGCAACGATGGGTGATGCCGATCCCGACAACCTTCGACAGTACACACAACACGATCTTTACAATCCACAGATCTGTGGCCCCTTCGAAGACAACAATAACACAAGCCTTTTTCTTTTGCTTTCGCCCACTTATCGTTGACTGCTAAGGTTGAAAACTGGAAACATTTATCCACACTATGAGTTTCTCCGCATATAACACAAGGTGACTTGCTAACGATTTTACCGAACGACAAACCTTGTGTGGAACAGGCCACCTTGCTTGCAACTCGTTTACTAGCAGTTGCAATCTGTCCGAATCTGCTAAGCAATATTTCCGCTCTAGATGACACAAATTCTGTTAACTCAGCAAAAGTAGGCTCTCTTCCATTTGCTGTTACCTTTCCTACTGTCTCAGCCCATATCATCTGTAAAACCGTGGGCAACTTCTTTACTATACTTTCTATTGTCACTACGGAGTTGAGATCCACTGAATAATCCATTTGTTCTAAGGTTATAGAACAGTTTTCCATCTTTATCGCTAGTCTAGATAGACTTTCTGCGTCATTATGCGCAATATCAGGACCTTCAGTTAAATTTTTCATCAAAGCCCGACATATTTCGTGTGTTCTACCGAACAACCGTTTCAATATATCGCACGCTCTACGATATCCCGACGATGGTGGAAGCATTATGCATTCCTCTATGGCCTCTCGAGCCTTGCCTTTACAATAATGTAACAAGTACAAGAGCCGTTGACCATCGTCTTCAACCTTGGAAACCACATATAAGTCAAACTGTCTAATAAATTTCCAGTATTTAGCTGGTTGTCCATTAAAGGTACTTAGCTCTACCTTTGGAAGTTCAAGACCTACACTAAGAGATTCCAAGGTCACTTTCTTCCTCTTCGTTCCCGGATAATCTAGCAGTTTTAACTTTTCTAGAGACTTTGTCCTAAGGTCATGAGAAGGACTTGTGAACCTGTGAACGTGCTCCTTTTCTCTGTCATCACAGTTAGAAACAGAAGATAACTTACTACACGTGCTTTCGTTTAGCCTTAACGACCCAAACTCTCTCTGAAAGCACAGTAGTAGTTTCTTCTGTCTATCTTTCAAGTCTCTCATTTCTAATAACTGTCTTTCTTTCAACTCTGCTAAGGTAACCCTAGAGCTAACTTTACTAAGTCTACTTACTAAACTAACATTAGAGCCATGACATGAAAATGCATCTAATTTGACTTGTCGTACATCTGGAGGTGCATCCGATTGCATTTCTCCGTGGCATAATGCCAAGTTTTCGTTGATCTTATTGCGGTTTCCAGGCATTCCAGAGTTGGTCACTTGAGATTACTGTTCGTTTGAGAACTGTAACGACCGAACAGCCAATATTCGGTTGGAACAACGGACTGACGAACCCAAAATTTACTCGATTAGACCAGACCAAGTTCCTCTGTATAGCTCACAACGCGTCTTTGAGATACTCGTATTATATTATATCGAAACACAAACTCTGTGCTCAATATAAACGGTTCTAATTAGGAAAACAGAACAAATTACATCAAAAATACAAAATACCTCAAACGGTACAGCCTGTGCTATACAGTCAGAAGTTTCTCTAACGCAAAGTAGCGCGCTAAACAATGAAAGAGACAGTTAATACTAAAGGGTTTGATACCTGAGAATCAATACAAATATTCCCAATAAGATGGGATCAAATATCTATCTGCAGGGATTGCAGCAATTCTCCCGAGCAGACAGTCAGAAGGTTAACAGTCACAAACTGAACCACGCCGTGACCTTGAGCTTAGTCAAACACAACCTTACTGTCAATGGTCCGGCAACATGCAATAGAAAATTAGGTAACAAAAATAAGTCTTTAATCAAAATCACATAATAAAGGCTCAAACGGTGAAGACTGAAGAACAAAAGACATGGTTAAACGAGATCTAAACAAAGGTTGGAATACACAGAAGGGAGAAGGAACAAACAAATGAGAATACTGTTCAACAAAGAAGCTGCAGAGGGATTTTCACTGTTCTCTTTCCGTTACAGTACGGAGTAGTCAAATGGACCGCAATGGCATTTATGGAAACCAATAACTTGCTAAACATAGAACAACATGTTTTTAGAAAGGATCTATCCTGTACAACGAAACTTCTTGTAGCAAGGGAGTTTTGTATAAAGGCGCTAGACTACAGAAACTCAGTAAATGTTGTCTACATATACTTCAGTAAGGCTTTTGACAAGGTGCCAACTAATAGACTGCTATTGAAGTTGGCAAACCTTGGTATTGCCGGACCTCTTTTAAAATGGATTAAGGATTTCCTAGTAGGTCGTAGGCAAAAAGTAAGAATAAATTCCAAGTGCTCCATCTGGAGACCAGTACTTAGTGGAGTACCCCAAGGTTCCGTCCTAGGTCCTTTACTTTTTATAATGTACGTTAATGATCTTACAAGTATAGTACAGTCTCCAATGTTATTATACGCTGACGATGTAAAAATTTGGCGAGTAATAACTGGAGACACAGACACATTTACTCTTCAGGCGGACTTAAATAATATGATAAACTGGTCTAAAGAGTGGCTAATGCCTATCAACTCGGAAAAGTGTCTACATGCACTTGGGGGATTCAAAGGTTAATACGTACAACATAGGAGATGTGTCATTACCCGTAGTCCGGTCTCATAAGGACCTAGGGGTGACCGTGAGCAATGATCTTAAGACGACGGCCCATTGCCGGGAGGTCGCAGTTAAGGGGTTTCGAACCCTCTGGGCTTTAAAAAGGACATTCACTAAGCTTGATACTACCATGTTCACCACATTGTACACATCCTTAGTGTGAACTAAGTTAGAGAACTGTGTTCAGGCTGCAAGCCCCTGTTTAAAAGGTGACTCAGACATACTAGAAAAGGTACAGAGGGCAGCTACGCGTGCGATTCTGGAACTCCGGGGTTTATCACACAAAGAGCGGTATGAAAAGCTGAACCTCTTTACTCTGTCCTATCGCAGATTAAGGGGAGATCTAATTTTGATGTACGGAATACTGAGAAATGACTTTGGGCCTAACTTATTCTCTCTTTTTCTTCCCACTAGATCGGGACATCTCAGAGGACAGAGCAGGCGAGTAGAAAAGCCAAGAACGAACAAAATACCCATGGCATACAGATTTTCACACCGAGCCATCAATACTTGGAACCTGCTGCCTGAAGCAGTGGTGTCCGCACCTTCAATTGACTCTTTCAAGAGAAGACTGGACACTCACAGAAGCATACTAAAAAAGAATAACATAGGCCGTAGGCCTTCTATCCTTAGTACACAAATTTGAATCCTAATTTACCGATATTTTTTGTACCTAATTATACTTAGGTTCCTTACTTGGGCATCAGTGACCCACTGCCACTAGAAATAGAAGCCAGATAAGCGAAAGCTTTTTCTATTCCATGCACATCCACTCGGATCACTGAATATTGAAAGTTTGAAGGTCGAGATGAATTACGAATGTGTCGCTTGAATTTTGTCGATTTTCGCTTGACATATGGGAGAAAGTCTTTCTGAATCAACACCAGTGGATCTGTTTCCACAAGCCCTCCCCAAAATACCCTCAGATGCATCTTGTCCGAGATATCAACGAAAGCTGTCTGTAAGGGAAATAAAAATCCAACGATCCGAGGCTGGCAACAAATATGCAGCATTTGCAAGACATTCCCGTGCTAAGGTGTGAGGAATTCTACTTTTTCAAAATCATATTTGCCAGACCTACTTTTCATTTTGCTGTTTTGGGTTTTAGTCATTATGAATTTTGATAACTTAGGCACGAGACTGCAGTTTGACGCTTGAGTGTCCTCTGTTGCCAATTTTCAACAGCGCACGTATCGACGAAGATTGTCTGTATGTATCCAACCTCCTGGTACCATTGGGGCTGGATTTTCTAATTATGCGGTGAATGTATTAGCTAAATTAAGGCTTAAAGATGAATTTTTCTATTGTTATTCTATCAATCTGCCCACATTATACGCTATTGTGGACAGATATGACAGTTCACTATCCACTTTACACGACAATCATGAAGACCTAACTTTGAAACTTTTGTGATACCTCTCGACAGTAAAATATGAAAAGTTAACATCAGTGGTGAGATCTAAGGATGAAACATGTGGTATTCCTACAAGTCATCTGTTTTGTTCGGAGTTTACCCCTTCGCAGCTTTCACTAACGGTTATGAGCGATATAAATATTGTGAACTACTCGCGCCACATATGGGTGCTCATAAATTATGAATCAATACAATTTATTCCAAAGAGACTCATTGTATATAAAATCTCTATATCCCTACATTTCCATATACCGAAATATTTATTTTGATCTATCCAAGTAACACAGCAGGCCATCACCGATATTTATTTTGCCAAAGTAATGATTACGAGGGCTGTTGTCTAATGTAATGTTTGGTGCTGTTATTTTGAAACCGTTTATAGCATTTAAAAATTACATCTAACTCCAGTAGCTTAATGTAGATCAGACAGCAGGCCGGTTTAACTAAAACCATGGGAAGTCCTACCAATACTCGTATTTCAGGGGTCTATATTCAACATTCAAGTAAAGTACTGTTAACTAGTTTCCCATCAGTTGGTTCGGAAACCACGTTGTATGTAATATTCAATCAGAGTAAGAGATAAATGTTTGGCATGCAACGTGTTTGTGTTATCTTCGCTCTCCCTTCATCAGATTAGAGCGCAGATAAAATTTCTACCAACTGATTTCCAACAAAGTGTGCTCAACAGGTGTTACGGTACTTGCTGGCAACTTAGATGTGTGAGTTGAATGTTTAAGCACAGAGGATAGTGTTTTTGGTGATCGGAGACTAAATAACGGAGCTTGCACTTTGCAGCATTGTTGAGATCATGAACTACTATCAGTGAAAAGTATCAACATTCGACATAGTCGTGATTAGTACTGCTTGGTGCCAGTTGTTCGGGATCCTGGCTTGAACGTCAATTAGACTAATAAAGGCGCGAATGTTTACATTATCACCAATTCTTTTGGTACGCTTGCTTGGATTCTGATTATAATTCTTTATGCCCCGAACTTGATGGTTAGCAAATTTGTCATCCTAAATTGGTTTATGTAGACAAGTCGTCTGAACCTACAGTAACCAAATATTAAACCAAGCTAACTTCAGAACTACTTATCAGTTAGTCAGAAAGTGTTGATGGGGATTATTTACATATACAAAAAATCGCAAACATAATTAATACAGTCGCTGTTCTATAGCGTCCCGTTTATAAACATAAGGTCTCTGTAGGTTCCATAAAATGCCTTGACAGAAGTTAGTTTATTCTGGCAGATCGCGACTGCAATATTGGGGGTTGCTGTTGTTGTTCGAGGTATTCCCTTCGTGAAGGACATAATATCGAAGCAAATTTTTAAAATGTTAGGATGCAATATTCACCGTTGTATATCTGGAGAGTATTTTGCACTGGATTGTATAGTATTAGGATTATTTGCTAGAAATATGGTATCTCAAAATGAGATAGGGTCTTCAGAATACTTCTCATGTCAGTGAGTCACAAGTCACTTGACTTTTTAGTATCACCAGTGTAATTGTTTGATTGGTATGCTGTTAGCCCGACCTAGATTTCCTTCATTTTTAAAGAAATGCATTTGTAATGTCCCAATGAGTAGAAAAATTAAATTTTCTGGCATTTCTTGACCTACCCTAACATTTTAAAAATTGCTTATTTTAACCCAAAAATTAGGCATTATGGAAGGGAGCCTTCAGTTTAATCTCCTCTCGTGGTGACCCATGGGAAAAGTTTCATTTGCAAGAACTTCCAGAAGAAACGGCAAAGCGTTATCGTTATAACGCTATTAAGGGCAAGTGGATAGAAGATATCGTACGTGTAAAAATCGAAAATTCACCATTCAATCGAGGTGCTATGAGAGAATGTTTTCGTGCGTAAGTTAGTTTACATTTATGTTGTAACATTTTCTCTTAAGTTGGGTATATTACCCGAAAATTTCAAAATGTTCGGGTAGATCTAGAAAATAATCTTGCATGTTTTATCATTATATAGTCTAAGTGGTATAAGAGACGATCGTGAACGTCGACCTTAGACTGTTGCATCATTTCTACTCAGATTTATTAAAGTCGTAGCGAAAAAGAACACAAACCCTATGAAGACTATTTACTCGGACACTTACAAGCCAGAGATTATGACCAACTGATGTCTAAATTGGTACCATCACTTATTTCAAGCTAACAGTCGTTGTGTTTCTTAATGTCTGGCCCATGTTTGGCTCGTCGAATAGGATTGTGCTCTAGGATTATCTGCTGAAAAAGAGAATACATGTGAAGTTCATTAAAATCTTGAAAACTACCCAAACATCCAAAACAGAGTAAGGACATACAACTATCTTTCCACTGTTCCATTCCAGCAGTGGGACTAGGTTTATTTATTTATTTAAACACAAACATAAGTACAAAGAAGCACCAAATAGATATGCGCCACATAAATCATTCGATTTGTGTGAAGGCTGGGATACTGCACAGGTGCCCAGACCGAAACAGATGGTGTTCTTAGAAGGCCACACCCTGAACCTTTGAACTGAAGGTCTGATCCACAAGGTAGTGGAGCAACGTCAGAAGATGCAGTCCCATGGTAGCCGGTGACCAACAACTGGTTCATATGCCATTTGTTATCTCAGGATACTGAAACCCATGTGCACCATTGGTTTGGAATCCGGTTAAAGTGCCGGACATTTGTTTTTCGTCCTCTCAATTTCGTAAACAACACCCCCGCCACGGGAAAACAGTGAGTAAGACTTCCCTGGCAGAGGCTGTATACGCGTGGCCATGTGAGAGCGTTTCGAGAGGGAGGGCGGGCCCACCCCACTCTCGGCCATACCAGGGCATTTGGGGGCGTGGAACTAGGTTGTGTTTCCCAATCTCACCATTCCTACTCAAATTTACCATCAATGACATCCGAGAAGCAGCTCTGATGGTTGTGTGGATGTGTTACCTGGTGAAAGATTTTTTGATCTCGAGTATGCGGATGATATTGTATTACTGCCCAGTAAAACCCCGGGTATGTAAATCGGACTCAGTCAGTTGGTAATTATTGACCGTGAATACAGCACGTACTTTTCACCCTCTGAATGCTGAGTACTTTTATAAGACGGACAAGACCCTGCGAGGAATTAGAAGTAATCGAAAAGCCCTTCCATCTGATTAGTCTTATGAGTACTGGTGGTAGCGCGAGTGGAAGCTTATATCAGTCTGGGGCATATCTGGTACCTACGGGATCTGAATCTCACTGCCCGGCTTACAATGTGTCGGTGAGACGAATATTTCCCTATGTCTGTGAAACCTAGCCTCTCCGAGTTGTTCATGTTAGGCGACTCTCTGTGCTCGATCATCACTGTGTCCTAAGGGTTCCTAAGGTTCAGGAGCAACACCATGTTAATAATGCTGAGGTTCTGCAGTAGGTTTGAGTGCTGTGACAATAACTCGTTTGATGTCACTATCTTGAAATACCTTTTCAGGTGGTTTGTGCATATATTAAAAATGTCATCTTAGTGTGTTCTATGCCGTGCTTTGTTCGCCGACATTGGAACTGAATGGCGAAAGAAAAGGGGTGGTGAGTTTACGACATGTCACTGGGGTATGGAGGAAAGGTGTTTAGAGCTGACATCTGTTGGTCCATCAAGATTCCCTGGTAGTTATCCTAGAGAAATTGCGACTCAATGGTTTGAAATGTCACTGAACATGGCTCAGAAGGGTCCCATAATGCCCTAGTACGACCGAGGGTGGGAAGAGTCAACTCTCCCTCTCGAAATGTTCTCACATGGCCACGTGCATGCAACCACTACCGGGGAAGTCCTACTCACTGCCTTTCGCGGCGGGGCTTTTGTTTACGAAATTGAGAGGACGAAAAGCGAATGTCCGGCACTTTAACCGGGTTGGCGGATATGGAGGATTCACTTAGGGGAGTTGGAAAACCCTGATTCCAAACCAATGGTGCACATGGGTTTCAGTATCCTGAGATAACAAATGGCATATGAACCAGTTGTTGGTCACCGGGTACCATGGGACTGCATCTTCTGACGTTGCTCCACTACCTTGTGGATCAGACCTTCAGTTCAAAGGTTCAGGGTGTGGCCTTCTAAGAACACCATCTGTTTCGGTCTGGGCACCTGTGCAGTATCCCAGCCTTCACACAAATCGAATGATTTATGTGGCGCATATCTATTTGGTGCCTCTTTGTACTTATGTTTATGTGTTTAAATAAATAAAAAATAAAAAAGGCTCAGAATAGAAGCCAGTGAGGATCCCATTGTAGTTTTCTTCTGCATTCCAAAAGTGAAAAGGGTTCCTTTAACTGAGAAAAATTATCCTGGTTGCATGTTTTTAACAGGACTGTTTCTTTCCACTACGTATTGCTCTCGTTCACTTACTTTTATTCATTTGTTGTTTTTGATTATGTTCACCTTCCTTCTTCTATCTTTTCATGAACTCATTTCCTTATTCGTGCGGCGCATATTTATTTTCGTTCTCATTTGTACCAAAATCTATATGTTTTAAGTAAAAATGAATAAAATCTCTTAATAATTCCCATGTCATATCCATAAATAATTATACATGATTGATTTCATTTGTGCAAGTGAAATTTCTTGTTTTTGTATAAAGTAAACTTTATTTCATGTTGAATACCATAACTTTGAATGAAATCGGTAGATATGTGAGATTCTCTAATATTTTTTGATTTCCACAGGAAGAAATTGTCCAATTTTTCACATTGTTCTGATTGGTCATATGCATCAAATCATGTTGCTAAACGTTATATTGAGAAGGTTGAAACTCATGTGTATTTTGATGATGTTCGTTTACAAATGGATGCTAAACTTTGGGGTGAAGAATATAGTCGTCAACCGTCTGCACCAAAAAAAGTAATCGTTCATTTGTTGACATCTGCAACAATTAAATCATATTTTCTAGCGTGTTTGTTTAAAGGTTGTTCACACAAGTTAAGTATAAGTTGTTAGTATAGGGTTATGGAGATCGTTGAGTTTCACTAAAATCATAAAGCAATCTAAGTTAGGTAACCGTTTCGTCGTAGTATGTGACTGCTTACCAGTGTGCACTGATGACTCTGCAGCCGGGAATCAAACTCGACCTGGCGCGTGAACGCTTAACTTCCAGACTACTGGATCGTGATCAAATGGTTCACAAGACCGAAGGTCCTGAGTTTGATTCTCGGTCGTGGGGTCGTTAATGAGCACTGATGAGGAGTCCCAAACTTGAACGAAACGGTCGTCCAGTGCTTCTAGGTTTTCAGTGGTTGTCTAACTTAGATCGGTCCATGATTTCAATAAATATAAGTTGCTGAGAGTAGCTATGTGACTCTTGGATTACCTCTATTAAATTTATGTGCGAAGGATGCTAGAAGTCATCGCTATTATACATGCTGTGCTGTTTATGTATGAGGATAAGCTGTGCTCAACTCAAGTGTGGATTGAGATCACGGAAAAGGTGGGTCTCTATGACTAGTGAAAAACCTCGGGCGTCAATCTGAGTAGTACATGTCATCGTCTCTCGGTGTTTCGGAATGGCACGAACTAAACAAACTGCTCGCAAATCAATTGGAGGTAAGGCGCCCAGAAAGCAGCTAGCCACCAAGGCTGCGCGTAAAAGTGCCCCAGCTGCCGGAGGCGTGAAGAAGCCACATAGGTACAGACCTGGAACCGTCGCACTCCGAGAAATCCGTCGTTACCAGAAGAGTACCGAGCTTCTGATTCGCAAACTCCCATTTCAGCGTTTGGTCCGAGAAATCTCCCAAGACTTCAAAACCGATTTACAATTCCAGAGCTCAGCCGTGTCTGCTCTTCAGGAGGCCAGTGAAGCGTACCTGGTTGGACTGTTTGAAGATATAAACTTGTGTGCTATCCATGCTGAGCGTGTCACTATCATGCCAAAAGATATCGAGAATAAATGCCGTAACTGTTCATCATGCATTCAAGCCGCTAAAAATCCTTTGAAATGCGAACCTCAGCATTGGCCTACGCCTGCGGGACCCTGGGTAAGACTTCACGCAGATTTTGCCGGTCCAATCCAAGGAAAAATGTTTCTAATTATCGTAGATGCATTCACTAAATGGCCGGAAGTATATATCATGCCAAATTGTACAACGTCAGAAACGATCCACAAGTTGTCTACCCTATTTAGCTGTTCTGGAGTACCAGAGACCTTAGTGACAGATAACGGCTCGCAATTTGCCGCAGAATCGTTTAAACATTTCTGTAGAACAAACGGAATAACTCATCTTCGTTCTCCGCCCTATCATCCACAATCAAACGGACAAGCAGAGCGCTTTGTGGACACTTTTAAACGAGCATTACTGAAAGGGGGAGGAGAAGGGACAACTGGGCAGGTGATCACAAAATTTTTAACATCATACAGATCCACCCTGAACCCAAATGTTCAAGACGGCAAATCTCCCGCGGAAGCCATGTTTGGAAGGCGCATTCGAACCGTCTTCGATGCCATGTTGCCATCCAAATTAGTGGATGAGCGCAGTCACGGTCCAAGTATCCGAAACTTCAGTGTTGGCGACAAAGTTTACATTAAATCCTACATCGGGAAGAACCGATGGGAGCCGGGCGAAGTTGTGCAAAAACTGGGAAAAGTACTGTACAGAGTTCGAGGAGCTTTGGGAACATGTATACGTCACACAAATCAAATCCTTAAGGACAAAAGAACGGTGCGGACTCGAAGTAACCGGCCGATTTTCCCGTTAGATTTAATCTTAGATGCACCAATGCCCAGGAACACTGAAAAGAAGCCTTGGACAAGGAAGACGACAAGAATAATGGGACGCCGTCGCAACCCAGTTATCAAATTACAAGTAGATTCCAGAAATCTTATTCGGGGGAGGTGTTGGGTCGGCTTTCGGAGAACTTCAACGGAGCCTCCAGAGGCCCAAAAAGGAGCCGAAGGGCCTAACCAATCAGAGTGTGATGGAACGTTCGAGAACTCCAGCGTGGCGTGCTACCATTGGTCGGTAGCACAATATGACGTTAACGGATTGGCTGAAATAAGATGTTGATTTAACAGACGCCAACATCTATAAATACCCTTGATTTTCCGTACTGAAATGAACCTCATACTTGTGTCTTCTTTCTGGAGTTCAAGTCGCTGTGTAGTTCTAGTGTGCGGGTTACGGGAATAGCTTAGGATTCGTATATAGCGTTCAACCTACACGACTTATCAGTGGGTATCTATGTTCTGGTACCAGTTTGCTCAGAGTTCGAAGTCTAACCTTCGTAAAGTACTATCATTGTAGTACTCTTTAATCATCCGTATAAAGCTGACTAGGGCAATGTAGTTTCTCTCCCATACTGTACCCTTGTCTGCAAGGGGTCTCCAAAATGAAGAATCCTATAGGCAGCTAAATGACGTAGCTAGAGGAAGTCGGTGAATAGAATCCTTAGGTGTTGAATTATACCTTGGAGAAAATGGGTATTTGCGAAAACTTTGATGAGTATATGAGAACCGTGTAATAGGACAGTCATAAAAAAACTCGTCTCTATTCACCCAAACTGTGAACGAGATGAATCTGCAGGAACAATTAATGGAACACTGAATACTACACTAACTAACTAAACTGATCGTTTTGTATAGATCAATAGTCAAAGACTGACAGAAGCCCCAAAACCCAGAGTTAAAATGTATACAGATGTTCAGCATTGCAATTCCAGGCAGTTTGATTAACGTAGGGAATTACTGTGAAGTCCTTTAAGGTTATTAATAAATAACCGTGCACCAATAATCTCAAATCATCTGCTAAAGTTAAAACCTGATTTATGTTCAAAAGAAAGTAGCTGTTTGTCTTCCCTTATCTTAATTGTATAATTACAACAGAAAAAAAGAGAGTAAACCATCATGTTTTTATGCCATTCAGCTTGTTCTTTTCTAGCCGCAGATTTGCTAGACTCCGTTTATATAAAACAGGCCTTGATTGTTTTTTGTTGCTGGTATAACGCCCAAATGTTAGTGCTTTCGGCTTTAAAATAGTAAATAGGTTAAATACCTGTTCTAACCCTAGTTTGGGAAGCTGGGGTTAGTGTTACTAACTTTCACATAAAACAGTGTAGTTCAAAGCTGAATACAAACTTTTGTAAGTTACAATTCTTTTTGTAAGTATCAGTGCCAAGGTTGTACTTGATAGTTTCAAATAAATTGAACATTGGGTAAAAAGTTAATAATTAATATACTGTTTGTGGTATCCCAATGAGTAGAAAACTGTATTTCTGGGGTTTCGTAACCTAATGTAAGCCACTTCTTCAGCGCAAATAAATAACCGAAATAAAATTGACACAAGTTTAAGTAGTACAAAGGAAAAAAAGAAGAATATTTTTCGTACGATCAGAATCATAATAGGTCTGAATATGTCAATGTCAAATTATATTACAATTGCACACATATTTTATGCCCACCTTCTGACGCACAAATTAACATAATGACAGTTCACACAAATTCACCTTGACCAAAAATAACTTGATATTGACATATTAAAACCTATTATGATTCTGACTGCACTAAAAATGTTCTTTATCGTTAATTTCATCTCGATTATTTATTAACTCGGAAGAAGTGGTTTACATTAAGTGACGAAACTTCAGAGATACAGTTTTCTACTCATTGGGATATCACAAATAGTGTATTTACTACTACATTTCGTTTGTTTGAATCTTTTTCTGTATTTTAATGTATTTGCTTCATTACATTGATTAGGTTGATATTTCACAAATGTGTGTATTGGAGTTTATTAATCGACCAGAGAAACCTCTATATCACTTGGAGCATTTTATAGAAGGAACTTATCGAAAGTATAATTCAAATTCAGGATTTGTAGATGATTTATCACGAAACACTCCTCAGGTGAATTACTCGTTCATTTTCTTGGTTTTTCGATTGTTTTTTTTTAATTGAAAGACTGAACATTTCGATACTGTCTCCGGTGTGTGTGCATCTATGTGTGTTGACTTATTTACAAGAGAAAAGGGAAAAGATTAATACAGTTAAAACTGTTGTAGTTAAATTCACTTGGTATTTTTTGCTTGAATCTTCCCATTGATGTTTAGGACTGCAATTGATCAATCTCTTGGCATATGTACACCCCGTGCGGATTACCTCGATATTACCTTAAGTCACAAGCATTATAATTAGTGTACAATCTCAATTCCAACATCAAAATATACTTTATACTGTATTACTCTTTAAGGAAGTTTCATAACATCAATTTAAACAAAATAAGCACTTCTTTTCGAAGAATAACTCTAGAGAAAAGCAAATATTTTTTTCATAGGATTCGAAGTATGCTTTAAGTGTGTTGTCCCACGGAATGGTTTCAAAAGAAGAACGTTAATTGTTTTTAATCACGGCCATATCGGACGTTGATACTTTTCACTGATAGTAGTTCATGATCTCAACAATGCTGCAAAGTGCAAGCTCCGTTATTTAGTCTCCGATCACCAAAAACACTATCCTCTGTGCTTAAACATTCAACTCACACATCTAAGTTGCCAGCAAGTACCGTAACACCTGTTGAGCACACTTTGTTGGAAATCAGTTGGTAGAAATTTTATCTGCGCTCTAATCTGATGAAGGGAGAGCGAAGATAACACAAACACGTTGCATGCCAAACATTTATCTCTTACTCTGATTGAATATTACATACAACGTGGTTTCCGAACCAACTGATGGGAAACTAGTTAACAGTACTTTACTTGAATGCTCAATACAGATCTCTGAGATATTGAGGGATGTAATCTCTAAATGATGCATGTGGTTTTCAAAACAGCTGTGAAAGTTGTTCAGATGGACCATGAATTTCGATGAAGATCTATTAGATCACTGGAAGAATATGGATAAACTGCATGAAACTAAAACGACGTTAAGATCTTATTTTATGACGTTTTTTCATTGGAGTTGTAGATTGATAATTTAGGTACTGGAGGTAATCAATTATTAAGTGGAAATTCTGAACTCGTACAAGTGACTGGAATGAATAAATCTACTGTTTAGTATAATGTTAAAATTTAACGAATTAATCTAATAATCATTTCTGTGTACAATTCAGTATATGATCACCAGATTGTATTTTAATAATCACAAAATGTTTGTGCAAATAAATTTTTTTCTTCCATGTCCACATATTTTGCATGTATTCTTTAGGCTTTTAGTCACTTCACCTTTGAACGAAGTGGTCATCGTTTAATTGTAGTTGATATACAAGGTGTTGGTAATCTATGGACAGACCCTCAAATTCATACATTCGATGGTAAATCTTATGGAGATGGAAATCTGGGGATTCGTGGAATGGCTTTATTTTTTTATACACATCGATGCAATCCATTATGTTTAGCTCTGTCATTAAGCGCTTTTGATTTACCAATAAATGAAAAACTATCTACACCATTTAGTCAATTATCTATGGAAGCAGCGGATAATCAGACTGAAAATACAAATGGGATCAGTGATAATAATAATGTAAGTTGAAGAATAACTCACTAATTCTCATTTCAAATGGATATCTTGCTGTAGATCTTGAGTTCTAGTTGTTTCTTCATAGATATCCTTTCGTTCCATGTTTTCGAATAATCTTCTTTAATGTTTAATACTTCTTATCATTGCTACCAAAATCATTTCCATTGCTTCAACATTCATTATACTAATTTTATCTCATGCCGATTTGATATAGCAACTTGGGCTAATGCACATATGTCCCAGACTCTATGTTGATTATGAATGACTGATTGAATGGATGTATCAATTGAAGAACTATTGGTTTGGTAATCAGAAAACACTGAACAGTTGTTTTATCCGTTTCAGGATCTCTCAGTAGTACGTACCATTTATGGAATTGGACTATGGTACTAAAATTCTCATGGTGAATCATCATTTTCTTCATGATTACTGTTGTGAATATGCGAATACTAGAATTGTTTGGACTTTCGAAACTACCTCACGGACTATTATTGCTTATATTTTTTATCAAGTAATTATTAGATAATCGAACTATTGTATTTTTGTCCTTGGTATAGTGAGCTTCCGTTAGACCTATCGACTACTGTTATACTTATTATCTTTTAATTATCATTAATTAACTATGAATCTTTTGCTCCGTTCCCTACCATCTATTGTGTGATTGTGTGTAGAGGGTTATTTTTTATTTGGAGTGCATTGCAGTGTGATAATTCATGTGCATAAACCAATAAGTATCTGAAATAAAAATACTAGGTGCTTGAAATATGGATAATAAAAACTCCTTTGGCATGTTCTGTTACTCAGGACTACAGGAAGAAAGTGTTATGATGGGCGCTGTCTGAAATCTAATACTGATACACGACGTGTTATACGCTAGCCTCCCACCAACTAACTACTTGAGCAAAAACACAAAAGTGGATGCTAGAGTATATTGGGCTACCGAATAATATGCACTGACTGAGATATATATTTATTTCTCTCTACCCCTTAACAATCCGTATGCACTTGCCCGTGAGGTCGTTTCAGATTGTCAGCGTCGGTGAGAGCAGTTCTGTTCTATGCTTGTGAAACCTGGCCTCTCCGAGTTAAGGATGTTAGACGGCTCTCTGTGTTTGATCGTCGTTGTCTCCGAAGGATTGCTGACATCCAGTGGCAACACCATTTCAGTAATGCAGGGGTTCAGGATCGTGTGTTCGGGCACAGGGACGATAATCCGATTGGTGTCAACATCTTGAAACATCGACTTCGGTGGCTTGGACATGTTCTACGAATATCGTCCCAGAGAATTCCACGTATGCATTATTTCCCGACCCTGAGACTGGTTGGAAAAAGCGGAGAGGTGGTCAGTGTATGACGTGGTGTCGGGGTATGAAAGAAAGCTGCAAAGGACTGGCTTGTGTTGGTCCTTCACGACTCCCTGGCTGGGGTCCGAGAGATGGTGCTACACAGTGGCTAGAGACGTTATCAGATATGGCTCAGAATAGAAGCCAGTGGCGATCCTGCTGTAACCTTCTTTTACCTTCCTCATAAAAAGTGGTTGTATCTTCCTTAACTTAAAGATTTCTTCTGGCTGTACCTTTTCGTTTCCCCCATTATTATTATTGTTATTATTATTATTATCACACCACCTTACACTAATCTCTGGTCGTTATTGTTCCTCTTCTTTTTTTTCTCTTACGCTCCTTACCTTTTTCTCTCCCCATTCTCATTGTTTTGTGTGGCGCATATATATTTGGTGCCCCCTTGTACCAATATTTATGTGTTCAAATAAATAAATAATAAATAGATGTATTCACTCTTCATCTTTCGATCTTAAATTCCGGTATCTGTTCATGCATATCTTTCCACTCTTTCTTTTCAAACAATCTTTACAGTTCTTAGTCTTTCTTTTTATCACCACCACCTTATTTCGACCTCTTTTATCATTTTCATTTAGTCGTGCTAATATAGTTTGTCTTGGACCAAATCATTTATGCCAAATTAGGGATCGAAGATACGACTCTAGAAGGAACTATAAATTGATGAAATAAACAGATTATGAAGAATTTAGTTGATCGAGATTTAAGGAAAGGCGAAAAGTAAATGCAACTGAGCCATTGCGAACGATTTTGAGCCATGTCACCCAACTTCTAACAATTAGTTACATCAACCAGATGGTCTTCCCCTACCTACGTGACTCACTCTATTAGTTTATCTTCATGAACTGATACTATGTCTTGGTTTAGCCCGTTCTACCTTTCTTCCAACTTACTCCTACACCAGTCACCATCGTGTGTGCGTGGTAATCTGTGGATAGACATGCGTAATACGTATTCTCACAATCTTAATCGTTAAATATTGACTAACTCATCAATTTATTGGCCACGCTTACCTAGTACACCGCACCACACGACAAAGATGATGCGAATTCAAGTATATGGTTTTGTACTTAATAATTAATCAGTTGTATCAAATTTTAACTTCTATCAATAAAATCTAAATCGGCTGTTCAATATAGTCTTGAATGCATTCAATTCTAATTTTCCTAACTATATGTGTTTTATCATTCTTGGTATTTCATTCTTTTGTAATCTCTTTTTCTTTACTTTTCTTGTACTTTCATTTGTGTTTTTACCATCTATCTTCTGTAACATCATTTCTCACCCTTTTTAAATTTCCCATCTGTTGAGCTTTCACTTATTTTACTGAAATAAAACGTGATAATTTCCGCTTATTTTCTATGCCTTGAGTTAATTCTACTTGTATTTTCTAACAAAAATTTTAATGCTGACATATTCGATATTCTAAATAGTATAGTTCAATGTGTGTTGAGGTTAAAAGTCTCAAACAAATCTACCGAAATTGTAATACTAAAATTGATCAGTTCACATGATATTCAGATTGTGTGTAACTTTCAGGATTTGGTAGGTTTACTCTCTCCTGAAAGTAACTTGTGTGCTAAAGCAGTGTGAGGAGGCAGTATGTGAAAAAATACAAGATAAAAAGTGGACCGTTGACTCAGTAAGCACATAAGATGCAATTGCATCTAGTAATGAAAGTAATTGACAACAGTTGAAAATAGTAAAAGTGTGAGATTAAGACAATTTGACAATTGAAACAAGAAGTTGATAGCGTATGGTTTCGAACGCGTTAAAGTATAATATCTTAGAAATAGTTTACTGTATATTACGTAATCTTTTGAATGTCCATATCAATTTCTTTTTTTAAATATTATTGAATTTATGAAGATGTATGATAAATTAAACGAGACTAAACTGTAGTAATGAAGGAAAATAGTATAGGTTTTTTGGATAACGTACACTGACCTAGATCGTCTCAAATTTTTGTAATTTTTTGCTTTTGAAATTATATCTACATTTTTTTATTATCTCATTTTATGGTTACTTGTCTGTCAGATTTTATCTTATTAACTCAGTTTAAAGAGGAAACACAAAGGGGTTGTTGCTTTTCGTGATAATATAGATGGATGAGATTCATAACAAAAATATTATTATTATTGTTATTATAAATACATCACATAATTATATATTAACTATTTGCCTAACTATCTACAATCAGGTTGAACTCAGTGGAACAGTAGCTATTCCAGCTTCTCGTCGTGATCGATATGGTATTCGTCGTTTGGTTTCAGAAAATATTGATTCATCTTATGATTTACAAAACAATGCCAATAATCACAACAATGACACTAGTAGTGATTTTGTAAATCCAGTTGACTTTGTAGAGTCTCATAGTGTACCTTCGCCTAAATTACCATTTCTACCTTCGAGATCTCCTGTTTTATGTAGAAATGATATATTACAAAAGACTGATCAAATCAATCATAATTCAAATGTCGTTGCTAATAATGGAAAACACAATACAAAGTATAGTATTAATACTACTACTACTGATAATAATAATAATGGTAATAATGATGATGCACGTACTGATGAATTAATATTTGGTCCAATTTCACTTCATAATAATTCGTATGATTCTGGCATAAGTTTTGATGGCCCATCGTTTGGTAATGTGTTCAAAGCACAACAAAGTATTATTAGTGATCCTGGTTGTGATCCAGTATGTCCAGATTTGGATCAGTCAAATTCTCATTTGAATTCCAGCGAAAGTTCACAACAGCTCAGTAAAGTAAGTTTTTGGAAACTTTTTATTCCAGGAAAAATTATTTCTAAATGCACTCATTAGTAATAATAATAATCGCAATACTATTTTTATCACTTTATTATTCGTTTACATCTTATTCTCAGATATTAGTGTCGTAAAAAATTTTAAATTTTCATCAACATTTCGTTTTCAGCTGTTATCTTAGTACATACTTACAGTTAAAGCTGCGCGTTATGATAGCTCAGTTGATCGGTAAGATGCCGTATAACTTGCTCCCCATGTTCCAACTGAATAGTTATTAGAAGACAAAACTGTTAACCATGTCTGGCCAATCGAATGTAACTCTGACGTAAGGAAACACAGTCTAATAGTTGCGACTAAATTATTCTAGACATCATCTGTAGTTATTATTCTGTTTTATTTTTACAAACACTTCTCGGACCACTCTGTTTATGTTTGAAAACAGCTACTATTTCAGAGCGATCAAACACTCAGTTTCAGCCAGATTACTGCCTATAATATTTGTCTTTGAGGGAGTGGGTTGGAGTTTCGTCACGGGTTCAGAAAACTCAGTTGGCTTTTTTATCTTGGGTCGCTTATGGTGTAACACGGCATATCTTTGGCAGACAAAAGAGTGTGTATACTGCGATGCAGCTTTATTCTTTCCACTTTACGGCTGTGTAACATGACCTTTAAAATTAAGTTATTCGTAGATTACTAGTATATGATCATACATTCCTACAAGAAATTTCTGGTGTATACTGAGAACAGTGTCATCAGTACTGAGATTAGATACAGGACATTACGTAAAGATGTCAAATCGATTGATGAGGCAATAAATATTCAACAGCTGAGATGTACACTCAACCACTTTCTACATATATGTGATATGTTTACTGGTACAGGAGTCGTTTGGAAGAAAGCTAATGGAAACAGAACTAAGACTTGACATCAGTCAATGAAATAATTGCCTCAATTGTTGTTTTGGCCTTGTTCATAGTAGTTAACTGTTGGATTTGAGTTGTACATGCTGACACAGACTATCAGGTTGAGGTCCTCGAGATTATCGTAGCCAATCATCGGAGACGTTAGATGTCACGGCTCAAAATCGTTCGCAATGGCCTAGGTACATCCATTCTTCGTCATTCCTTAGATATTGAGTTTAAAAATTGTCTCGTGATCTTTCCTACAAATTCATATTTCCTCGAATCCTATTGTTTGTGCCTGATCTTTACTACTATTCTAGATACTGTTTCTACTACTCTAGTATCTCCTTGAGCTGATGGTGTGTCAACCTGAACCGATCCACACGTATCAGGTTCTAAATTAAGCATGGCTGATTGAAGAAAGGGCTGGGATAATGTTTGGTTGGTCAAAGTTTTTGTTAAAACTACCGTTAAAATTACTATTTTAGACAATTTATGTAAGTGTATTTTCCAAATGTATAGTTATCTAAATAACACCAAAAACTCCAGATCTCCAAGTCAGTCAGTCAGTCAGCTACAACGTAGGACCAGGCACATATATGCATCGGTCCAAGTTGCCATACCTCATTAACACAACAAGTTGGACACCGGATTCATAAAAGTAGTTAATTCAGAGGTGGTAATATATAAAAGAAAGACTACAATAAGGATATAGTACAGGAAGAAGGAATTAGTTCGTAGAAAGAAAGATATGAAGCGAGTGTATACACCGACGCCATTGTGATCGATTCTGAGCCATATCACCAAGAGTCTCCAACCATTAGTTACGATAGTCACGCGGACCCCAATCAAGTAGTCTGCAATTTAGAAGAACTAAAAATAATTAAGGCAATTTATTGCATGTATTTTCTTCTCTCATTATAGTAGTATATCTTCCCCACAAGATTTGGCCAGTTGTTTTCTATTTTAAATATTTTTTTATATATATAGAGTTCGCCTTTAAATTATCTGACAATGAACAGTGAATAACCATAGTGACCATGCATATTTATCGTAAACGTTTGACTGAAATATTTTTAAAATTGTTATTGTTCTCGTTATTTCTTAAATTGTCATACATATTGATTATTCGTAAATTTACGTGTATTTACATTTGAACATTATCCACATACATAATACACAGAGTACATAGGATACTATCAGTTATCACAATATCACTTTAAATTCGGTGCATTATTGTTTTTTTTTGTCTTACATTATGTTTACATTTCGTGTATATTCTGCTACAATAGTTTATGCATACTGATTTATGTGATATAGAATCTGATATGTATTGAGATAATCTACATTAACAGAAAATTATTAAACAGATTTCTTGACTGTGATATAATGATCAACCCCACCCCACCTATCCTCTAGAATCTCACAGTTATCAATAGTCCATAACCTTCTCAAATTGGTATTCTCTGTTAATTTGACTGTTTCACATTCAGTCGTACAGTATGTTTGATATATTGAGATAACTGAAAAATCCTTAACTATCCCATTAGATCATATCATACAAGTTCAAAGTAATGTAACCAGATGGATGAATTAAGCAAGCGATTTTCATTTTTAGAAAATCCTAGTGCTGCAAACGTTTTTAAAAGACAGTTGATTTCAGAGACCCGGCTATAGTTTGGAAGTATTTACTTAATTGATTTTCTGGAAATATTTTATAATTTGAGAACAACAGGCTATAGAAAATTGTAATAAGTCAGGGTAGGTAGCAGTTTAAAACTTCTCAACGGCGTGAGCCTCTTAATTCCATGTCGAATCGATCCTAGGGGCTTCTCTGTTAGCTAGTCACAAGAGACGTAGAGCCTAGGATAAATGTATATCAATTCATTACACCAACCTTATCAACTCGAGATAAAATTAAGTTGGATAGTAGTATTCGTAGTAGCGGTGATAGTGAAAAAGACTGAACTTTGAGATCAGGGGTGCTGAGAGTCTCCTTCTGGTAAGTGGGAACCGATGACCTATAAACCTATTCTTGATCACCAGCTGTCATGGAACCACATCCCCTCACACTGTTTCACTGTCTCGTGGACTAGGCCTCTAGATCAAAGTCTCGGAGGATGACCCCCTTTTTGAGAAACCACTTGCTTCAGTTTGGGGACCTGGACGGTATCCCAGCCTGCACATATATTTGATGGTAACTACTTGTGTGACGCATGTATATTTCAGTGCCCCTTTGTACCAATGTTTATGTGTTTTTATGTAAATGCTATGTGGCTGAGTCATTAAATTGAAATCTAACAGTTCACATTACCAACATTCAATTTGTTTTATTATGATCTTCATTCTCTGTTTGGTTGACCGCACCGATCATGGCTTCCCACTACATATTCAGTAAAGTTATCTCGAAGTTAGTTATTAGTGTGGATATTCAAGTGGTTTTGTTGAGTGTTGTTTAAGTTGGTTGAAAATATTCAAACAATTTGTAATTCGGCCAATCTTTGTGTTCTTAAAGTAAATTAATTATATACACATGTAACGTTCGCTAATTCCAGTGTTTGGACTAAGGCACCTAACAACAAGTTTGTCTACTGTTTATAATTTTATGCTCTGGAAATTCTCTATAAATGAACATTCGTGTTAATTTTGATTGTACTAGTACTGGTTTGATATTACCTTTAGAACTTGTATTCCTAAACGGGAAGTCATGTGACTTTTTCTGCCAATAAATATCATGATGTGTTTGTCACACTATAATGATCAATATGACATTTAGTTTTGTGATTGATTCACCTACTTATAAATCAGCCTGGATACCATAGAAAAAACTGCAATTTTTTTTAGGTATGACACTTAGTGTTAGTGTGTCAGTTTCCTCTACTGGATGGTATTTTGACTGACGTAAAATGTGTATATCGTTATTGTATCACAGGTCTCCATAAAACAAATGTTTTGCTCATAACCGACTACCTAATTAATGTGTACATATTACTTGTTGTCTATGTGTTCAAATTATATTACGAGCTGGCTGATGTTAAAGGTATGCACCAGTGGATTTTGACTCGGTGATTTAAAGGATGTCGTATTCATTACGAGGCCTAAAGTTTGTGGTTTACCGCCGTAAAAATCCCTAAACTAGAATGAAATAATTGTTATATTCCCTTTTGGTTTTTATTCGATATTTTGTGATGTAACATATCAAGTATGTAATTGAGTTAATAACAAAGCATAGTTGTTTATTAAGCCTAGCGGATGTATGAGTTTTTGAACTTTCACTCATCTTGAAAAGACGGAGTGATATTCACTATTTTATCAATAAAATAACAAAGTGTTTTTTCCACAATTGATTGGTCACTGAATAATGTCCATTTTCATATTTGAATAAAGCGAAAAAGACATAATTCACTGAAAAAAGCACAGTGTTTTCAGTTTATGTAGTAAATCTTGTCGTTCTCTCTTTATTTAAATTTACCAATGTATCTGGAAGTATGAATTGTCGGGTTTTTTAGTCCTTAATTCTGATTGAATCCCATCGACTAAGTCACTAGTCTGAGCGACTCGACTTTGTGTGCTGTGAGTTGAATTGTTAAATGGTTGGAGGCAGTCATCAGGGAACTATGGACCTAGTTTTTGCTCTAGTTGACATTCGCCAGCAAGGCGTGCCTGTAATCTTGAAAAAGACGGTGCTCCCAGTGGGACTCCAACTCACATTACTCAGCTTCGCAATCTGAGATGTTATCGCTAAGTTCTTCGGATCACTACCAACTACCTGCAGTCACCTAAAAATAACGTTTTGTTTACCATAGTAGTTCTAAGTTAATTATCACGGATTTTTTTATTCAAAGTCCAAGTTTACATGTCATTTGATAGTGAATTTCTACTAATCATCGTAGATAAACCTTTATATATCTTGAATTGATAACAGCTGATGTACAATTGAGTTTGTGAACCGATTGAGAACTTCATACCGTTATCAAAACACTTATAAGAAATCAAATAAGTTTTTTCTATCCTCTCAATGTATTTGAATCGACAATCACTTTTGAATGTGGTTGGGAATAAGCTATGATTTTCACGTACACATTTTAAGATGATAAA